CTCCTGGTCAGTCGCAAGGCCGAACGGGATATAGGGTTACAGCCTGTGCTGGATGGGGTCGCACTCCCCTTGAAGGCGCAGGTTCGCAGCTTGGGTGTGATCCTGGATTCATCGTTGAGCCTGGATCCCCAGGTTTCAGCGGTGACCAGGGGAGCATTTGCACAGCTTCGGCTCATGCGCCAGCTGCGCCCGTATCTCGGGAAGTCTGACTTGGCCACGGTGGTACACGCTCTGGTCACATCCCGGCTTGACTACTGCAACGCTCTCTACGTGGGGCTGCCCTTGAAAACGGCCCGGAAGCTTCAGCTGGTTCAGCGTGCGGCAGCCATGTTACTAACTGGAGCGGGATACAGGGAGCACACAACACCCTTGTTGTCCCAGCTCCACTGGCTGCCGATTTGCTACCGGGCCCAATTTAAGGTGCTGGTGTTGGCCTACAAAGCCCTGAACGGCTCCGGCCCAAAATACCTTTCAGACCGCATCTTGGCCTATGAGCCCACGAGGACCTTGAGATCGTCTGGGGAGGCCCTTCTCTCGATCCCGCCTGCCTCACAGGCACGCCTGGCGGGGACGAGAGAGAGGGCCTTCTCAGTGGTGGCCCCCCGGTTGTGGAACACTCTCCCTACAGACATCAGGCAGGCGCCCTCTCTTTTGTCCTTCCGAAAAAGCCTCAAGACGTGGCTGTTCGAGAGGGCATTTAATTAAGTGCTATAGTAATGTGGTAAAGACGACTGGAATGGTACAAGGAATACGAGATTGGTCACGATTCTATTACGAGACGAAGCGGATTAGTTAGTGTAATTTTAACTGTTGTATTGTTGTATGGTTAATATGCTGTTGTACTTGTCTTTGTGTGAATTGCCTTTTGTACTGTACACCGCCGTGAGTCGCCCGAGTGGGCTGAGAATGGCGGTTAATAAATGCTCCAAATAAATAAATAAATAAATAAATAATGGAAATGTAATAATAACAATAATTAATAGAGTAAATAAAATAATAGTAAGTAAACTTTATTACGGTCAATTACCAGATCATCATGTAATAAAATAATAGAGTAAAGTAATGTAAATGCAGTAATACCAATAATAATACATAGAGTAAAATAATAAATGTAATAATAATAATACTAATAACAGAGTAAAATAATAAATAACCTTGACTCGAGTATAAGCCTAGGGGGGCTTTTTCAGCCTAAAAAAGGGATTGAAAAACTAGGCTTATACTCGAGTATATACAGTATTTTAATTTATTTCTTCTTGTAATGTGACATGATTAAGAATTGAAGCCACGATATTCGTTAATGGACAGAGTAATGAACCATTCTGAGTAGAAGTTAAGTAAATGCTGCAGCCAAGTTGCTGACTAAAAAGGATTCTAAGGAGCATAAACTACTCCACTGACTGCTTGTCCATTTCGTGGCCAAATTCAAAATGTCCCACATGGCTTGGGTATAGCCTTTTTGTGAAACGGTCTCCCTTTCCATGAGCCTGTCCAAGTTCTGTGCTGAATGGCAACTTCTCAGTCCCACCACTATCCCAGATACATTTGGGGGAGAACGCAAGAGATTGCCTTCTCAGTGGGTGCCCCCAAGTTGTAGGGCTCCCTTCCACAGGAAGGTTTGTTGGACCCCTCACGACTTGAGAACATACTGCAAGTCGCTCCTGGTGTGAGAGAATTGGTGTCTACAGAGACATTGCCCAGGGGATGCCCAGATGTGTTACCATCCTGCTGGGAGACTTCTCTCATGTCCCCACAAGCTAGAGCTGACATATAGGAGCTCACTCTGTCTCATGGATTCAAACTGGCAACCTTCAGGTCAGTTACTCAACTTTCAGGTCAGCAGTTCAGCTGGCACAAGTGTTTAACCCATTGCGCCACTGCAGCTCTTTGGGCAGCTGTAAAGAGGCATAGCATTTTTAGTGTGTTGCGGTGGATGGAACTTTGAAAGATGTGTGTGCAACATTTTATTTGATTGTGTTTTTAACTTGTGTTTTTTTCAGTCAAAGATGCTTTAACTTTTTAGTAAGAGTTTTTATATTGTGTTTTAAAATGTTGCATGCTATCTTTAATCCCATGCGATGAGAAAGGTGGGATATAAGTGATTTTAAGGTTTATGTATGTGTATAGTCTAGTTATGTTTAGCCTGAAGAAGAGAAGGCTGAGAGGAGACATGATAGCTATGTATAAATATGTGAGAGGAAGTCACAGGGAGGAGGGAGCAAGCTTGTTTTCTGCTTCCTGGAGACTAGGACGCGGAACAATGGCTTCAAACTACAAGAGAGGAGATTCCATCTGAACATGAGGAAGAACTTCCTGACTGTGAGAGCCGTTCAGCAGTGGAACTCTCTGCCCCGGAGTGTGGTGGAGGCTCCTTCTTTGGAGATTTTTAAACAGAGGCTAGATGGCCATCTGTCAGGGGTGCTTTGAATGCAATATTCCTGCTTCTTGGACTGGATGCTAGATGGCCATCTGTCAGGGGTGCTTTGAATGCAATATTGAGTTGTTGTTTTGCAAGGTCCTCAGCCTTCTTTACTGACCCCAGGACTCCACAGCACTGAACCACGGCAGCTAAAGTGGTGTCAACATGCATTACTTGTACAGTGTCAATGCACCCAAGAATAATGTTTGTCTTTTAAGGTCATGTGCTGAGTTGTTTTCATAATCCACCTTCACCCCAAAACTATTCTGAGACAGGGAAAGGACTCCTGTCCTTTTCATGCTTGGCTAAAAGAGGGAGTTCCTACAGGTGCTTCTTGTCACACAACCAGGTGACAGTCAACACCTGCTGACATGATCTCTTCTGCACAACCATTAAAGGGACAGAGTCCCTTTTCTGCAGATGGCCAATTCTCTCACACCAGAAGTGACTTACAGTTATCTCAAGTTGCTTCTAACACGAGAAAAAAAAATCAAAGGTAATATTATCATATGTATTCAATCAAAATATTAATTATAAAAGAAGGCTACCTTTCTATCTGAGAAAAATCTTTAATATCCAGTTTTCTAGACAGAATCCACACAAAGTAGAGTTTGATGGAAATACTGATGATGGAAATACTGATTTCACAAGTAGTCTTTATCACAATAATAAGAAGGATGTTTTATTATGAGAAGAATGAAGTTGATTCTGGGGTGTGTTAACCTTTCAGTGCCCATTATTTTCTCAGCTCCTTCTGCTTCTATTTGCTTTCCTTCATCTCTCTCTCTTTTTCTGTCTCCCACAGCAAATGTCACTCTGGATCCAGACACAGCGGCTCCCTGGCTCAAGACACAGCTTATCCCCGGCTCATCCTGTCTGAGGATCAGAAAAGTGTGAGATACCAAGCCAAGCGTCAAGACCTGCCTGACAATCCTGAGAGATTCAGTAACCGAGCGTATGTGTTGGGACATGAGGGATTCACATCTGGCAGGCATTTTTGGGACATTGTTGTGGAAGGGGAAGAAGACTGGGCTGTGGGGGTGGCCAGGAAGTCTGTCAGGAGAAAAGGCTCTGTTGACCCGGGTCCTGAGGAAGGGATCTGGGATGTGGGCAAGTGGGAAGGTAAGTATAATGCTACCAGTCTCCATTCTAGTAGTGATTTCCTTCTGAGTAAAAAAACCAAGCGGGTCCGAGTCTGTCTGAACTACGCTTCAAACCAGGTGGCCTTTTACGATGCTGATACGGGAGACCAGATCTGCCTATTCTCAGATGTCCCATTCTCCGGAGAGACTGTCCTCCCATTCTTTTGTGCATATAAGAAAGGCCACCTCAGAATCTCACCTTAAAGCAGCCAGGCCTCTCTCTCACAGACCTTCTTCTGTAAGCCAGGATGAAAATAACAAAATGCTTAAATTCTTCCTGAAAGGTGTTCCTAAAGCGCTCGTTTTTAAAACATTCTTTTAAATCTTTTCAGAAGATTTCATTGATTGTATTCTGCCATGAAAGCTTTTGGAGAATTGTGTAGCGACGAATGAAGAAGACAGGCAGTCCAGGAGGGTGAGGGTGATCTCGAAGTTTATTGACTAGCCAAGCTGTTTATATAACTTTCTTGTGCTCTTTGCAAAGCTTGTATAGTAACAGTGAGTTGGATTACATCATTGGCAGAGTGATTGGCTAGAGGTGAGCTCATCCTAAGGTGAGGTAGCCTACAACCTACTATCAGTCCCAGGTCATGATGTCCCCTGCATCCCCTTGCCAGAAAGGTGTGAAGCATAAGTGTCAGAGGACTGGAATCTGCCATGTTTCCCTGGAGGTATGGTTTGCCAGTCCCCCCTGGTGGTACATTGCCATTCCTGCACCTCTGCACTAGGGACACAATGGTGTCTCTCCTGCATAAGGGACACTAATAATGATAATGTCCCTTCATCCCCCCTTTTTTTGTTTGTTTTATTAACAATTTGTATGTATAAAGGACATCACGCCTGGGAGGGGGTTGTAGGGGCCGTGGCTTATAAATATGCCACAGGGATGGGATGTATTGAATGTAGCAACAGCATATGATCAAACAGCCAGTCAACAGTAAAGCAATTTGAACTGTTTTTTTTGATTTAGCCGACAGGAAGCCAGGATATATATTAGGATATCATTTTGAGGCGGGGGGAAGGGTCAGCAGAGCGTGAGGCTAGCAAGAAGCTTATAACAATGGGATATATATATCAAATGTAGCAGTAGCAGATTATTACATAAGCCATCAATAGTTGTGTAGAGTAAACAAATTGGATAATAAAAGTTTTATCAAGCAGGTACAGTGTTTTGCTTAATATGTTAAGCTAAGTCTTTAAAAAACAACATGCATAAATATTTTGTTGAAGTTATTTGTGAGATTTGAAACAACACATAGAATTGACTGGAGGGTGAACATGGGAATGGGATTTTGGAGGCCTTGGTGTCACGTCATCTTTTTAGGGGCAAATGTAGCGAGCAGGAACTCAAAGCGCTTGATTGAAGAAGCCAATGACAGAGAATGTGTGATTAAACAATGTTGTCAAAAAGCAAGTCATGTTTGTTAAAGTCTATAGGTTTATGACAGTTGAAACAGGAACTCGAATCGGTCCGTCACAGCAGTATTTTTGACTTCAGGCGATGAGGGGAGCTGGGCCTTTTCATTCCGGATCTGGCAACCTGTATCAAGGGAGTGAAAGGGGGTAGGGAGAGGGAAATGCTTCTGGATCCTGGTAACGAAAGAAGAATCAGATAAAATTAAATTCAAGTGATTAATGGTAAATAACACATATAGGAAGGCCATTGCTGGAAAGCGAAAGCAAAAGAGCAGCGAAGAGGCCAGGGGGCTGACTCCCCCTTTTTTGTTTGTGTGTGAGAAGAAGCAGATGGTTTTTAGAGGTATGATTTGAACGTTTAGTAATTTTGTGTTGTGTGGCCATTGTATGGAATGTTAAAGATGTGGGCAGAACATTGTGAACTTAGCATTGTAATATAAGGTATGTTGTAGCAGAGATGTTTATGAATGAATATGTGTTTTGTCTTTTGTTATGGAAAGTAGTGAGGAAAATTAGGCAAATAGTGTAAGTGGTTGTAGTTGAAATGATCGTTGTAGTTAGGAGCTTATTATGATTTAGATGTGTAGGGATGGCTTGGAGACAGAACCAAAACTGTCTGTGATGAAGAGATCAGATTAACTGAACATCTTAAGAAAACTGAGTGTGTTAAACCCAGGTCAACAGTGGGAAGCCATGTTTAACCCTAGCATTGGGATGGTATGATTTTAAAAACTTTGGAACTGGCACAGAGTTATAAAAGGAAAAAAGCAGCTTTAAGCTCTTTTTTAGGTTTAGGTAGCAATGTGGGTAGAGTCTAGAAAGAATAGACTCGACCAAGGTAGAAAATGTTGTATTAAAATCTTTAAGGAATGTATTTTGAGCAATGTTATGGGTAAGTGGTTTTAATCTGTTGAAATATATGTGGATGAGTGTGATAATGATCAACAATAGATCTGTTGGAAAACTTTAGTAATTGTGTAATGAGAAATGGATAATAGGTTTTGTAGTATGAGGATGAAAAGGCATGATCTTTATAGGGCTGTGTTTTGTTGAAGAGCGAGGATCTTGATAGTCATTAATTAATCAATGAATGATTTATTATGGTCTTTGACCAGCACAGTATAGAATGGGCATCGGTGTGTAAGGAAGGGAATTGTAGTTTTTAAGTATATCGGGTATAGAGGCAGAATGAAAGCACATTTAAAAACATAGACAAATTAAAAGAATAAAACGGAGTAACCAAGCATAAATCAAAAGATAAACAATCATGAATCAAAAAGTCATTTTAACAGAAACAGGATAGGGGAAGTGTTTGTGTGTGTGTAATCAGAGTTTAGAGCCTAGCCGTGGCTGGGACGGCTTTATCTTTTGTTTGTGGAATGTATGTCTCTCCTTTTTTTAGGGTATCGTGTCTGTCGGCTTGAATCTCTCTCGCAGAGGGGAGAGATTTTTTGATGGATTTTAGTGTGTAAGGTAGAGATATAATGTGTGAATAAAGCAATAAATGTCTGGTTTTGAGTATCGTTTTATTAACGTTTTTATGAAGTAGGTATTTTAAACCTTTGGCTGAGATGTGGGTAACGAATAGGGGTGTGTGTTTGTAGTGTGGTAGATTTAGGATATAATGGTTTGATCTATTGAAAGCTGAGATCAGACTTTTTAAAATGTTGATTTTAGCGTGTTGTGTTTAATATGGATGGGGGAGTTTGGTGTCTTAAGAAAGGGAAAAGAATATCAAAAGAAACAAACAAAGCTATGATTTGTAGACTTAATAAACTCAATCTTAAAATGAACTATGCAAGAATGTTTAATGTGTATATGATTAATAACATAGCAAGATATGTTATCATGTAAGCATGTGTTGTCAACCAATGTTTTGTAAGAAGTGTGTTTTTGTGGAGCTGATTTATCTGTAAGCATCAGATGAAATGTATGGCTTTTAGGTGTGATTAAAATTTAAGAGTGTATAAGTTGAATGTAATTTGAGTCTTATCTATAATTGACCCTTTGAAATGAAAGGAACAAGAAGTTTTGTGTGTTAAGTTTGGTTTAATTTTATTGTTGGTGGAGTTTAGAATGTGTTTTGATTGTGAACTATGAATCTCAGGAACTATAACTCTTGATTTTGAAATCAACACCAACTCTATCAGTATTTAAATTGTTGTGTATAGGTATGTGTATCAAACTAGATTAAGTAAATGAGAATCTATTTTGTATATCAGACATGTATATCACAATTTATGACAGTAGCAAACTTATGGCTATGAAACAATAATAACAACGAGCAAAATTATAACTATGAAACAATAATAGCAAATGAAAACAATCTCAAACATCTCTCAGTTGAGGGTTAGTATAACATAAAGAATTTATCTTAAAGAGCCGTAGCATAAGGAAGGTTGGGAATCACTATTTAGATGTTGTATCGTGGCTCCCATCATATCTTATAACTAATCAATGTTGTTTAGCATTAAAGAAAAATGAAGCTTGACAATTTTTAAAGGACTGTGTATTGTCTATTTTTTATCAAAATTAAGACTTTGAAAGTTTTTTTTATCAAAACATGATTTAAAAAGAATGAGGACTCTATATATAGATCTTTGATTTTA